ATCATATTTATTGAACAGCTTCTTCCTAGAAGACGTGCGTGAGGCCAGTGCTGCACATGAGTCCTCTCCACACTGGTGAGCTCCATCCTCGCTCACCACACATCAGCCTCATTGCCGTCCACTGGCCTGGGTTCTGCTCTCCTGCACCACAAATCACTGACCCTTCTATAGGACTCTGCTCCAGGGTGACCTCCTTGAAGATGTTTTCCTTCAGCTTCCTCCTGTGTGCTCTCCTGTGCATAATCTGGTTCAACTCAGTCTGTCTCATTTGATATCCATAAATGCTGTGTGTCTTTCTCCGAGTCCCACCACAATTAGTCTGGAACTTGATCACCTGATAAAAGCCAACTTTGTCACCTACCAAGCACATGACCTTGATTAAGTTATCTAAATACTATGCCCCAGATTCCTGACTGTGGTAGTTACTTTTCTTGTTGATGATACAAAAATACCTGATGCCCAAAATTGAAGGAAGAAAGGTTTATTTAGGTCACAGTTTGTGGAGGTTTCAGTCTGTAATCAGCTGGCTCCAGGGCAGTGTTGTATGGCTGAGGGGCAGCCCTTCATGGAAATGGACAGCAAAAGCAACCAGAGCCAAAAGGGGAGGGGTGACAGACCAAGGTTTTTTTCCTCCCTTATACTGTATGCAGGTGACTCACCCCAAGGCAAGTGTAGCACTCACATCCATAATCCCAGCATCAGATCATGAATCAATCACATAGAAGGCTCCCCCCCCCGCCGCCCAAGACTGCATGTCCCCCTTTGGCTTGGGGATATCTGGACACAAACTGTAACACTGACCTACAAAACTATAATAGAAACTTATCATTCTTGATACCTTACATTACCTTTACATTACGAAATCAGTTCACACACAGAGAAACTTAGAACAACACCTGGTATACACAGAGGGCCAAATCAAAGTTCATTGCCCTGGCAGCTGTTCTCTCTTTCCCTCTGTCTCTGTCTCTGTCTCTGTCTCTGTCTCTGTCTCTGTCTCTTTCTCTGTCTCTCTCTCTCTGTCTCTATCTCTGTCTCTCTTTCTCTCTCTCTCTCTCTCTCTCTCTCTCTCTCTCTCTCTCTCTCTCTCTCTCCTGCAGATAACAGGAGCTCAATATATATTTGGAAATAAAACCAGGCACATACAAAGAAGAGCCCACAGAGATGTCCAGATGTACTATGGGATTCAGAAGAAGACTGTTCACTGCCTGGGGTTCCTGAAGGTCAAAGGAGGATGAGGGAAAGAGCACAAGCCTCAGAGCCTGGGGGGAAGGAGCTCCAGGGAATCTAGAAGACAGGGCCCTGCAAGGGATTACTGGGTTCCTCACACACTGCCAAAAGGCCAGAGAACATGCCAGAGATGCCTAACTGAGACCCAGGGCTCTGCTCCTCTCCAGCCGCTCTCAGCCACAGAAATCAAAGCACAGAGACCCTTAAATGACATCGCACTCCCCAGCCACACACCTGCACCCTTCTAGGGCCCAGAGTACTAAGAGGATACAGAAGGCAGGAAAAGAGACAGGACATCAAAGGACTTGAGAGTTCCTGTGGCCAAATAACCATCTCTAGTTTTCCATGGGTAAACAAAGGTGTGCCAAGATCCAAAGCTCAGAGCAGAGCCCTCTCAATAAAAGATTCAGAGCCCCAAACTCAACTACCCACACATGCAAAGCCCGAGCAGGAGGGGGTCCTCATGGATTCGCCTTGCTGTGGAGGCAAGGGACAGTGTTCCTAGCATTCCCTGGGGGTGCTTGGTAAGCTCTCACTCACATGAGCACCCCATGTCCCCAGCGGGCAATGGTGGGGAGCACATGCTTTGTGTGATGATGGACTCCTCCTTTGGCTTTTCTGTTCTCATCAGCAAAATCCTGGCTGAACCTTCTCTGTGGAAGACAGAGGATGTTGGATGGCTCCCTAAAAATGAAGGGGCAGCAGGTACCTTGCTAAGACACCAGCCTGGGACTCAGGCTGGTGTCCAGGCACAGGCAGCTCCACTGCTACTCCCTGGATGATTGGCCCAGGGGACACTGGCTTGCAAGGGAGCATCACAAGCCTGGAGCAGACCAAAGCTCCTAATGAAAGATAGGCTAGGGCAGACATAACCAGCTAGGGAAACTATTAATTGATAAAAGTAAACTGTTATCCATATTAAATTAGGGCACCGATGATTTAAAAAACCACAGACCTGCCCAAATATTTTGCCAGCTTTGCACTGCAGATGATGCTTTTATGGGACCCTTCTGGGACTCAGATTATGGGAACCAGGCCAGGACCAGATTGGGGGCAGGGCTCCTGTCCTGTTTACACAATAAACACATACCGGCTTGTCCCAGAGGACAGACCCAGACTTTGCATACTAAACATACTGGTGCCAGGCTTTGGGGGTCTCTGAGAAGAGGGGCTCATTCCTGGCAGATGAGGAGGAAGAAAAGAAAGTTATTCAGGGACACCTGGAAGCTGCTCCAGATACTTGGATTAAGGGCCAAGTTGTAGGACTGTACTAAAGCCAGATGTGGAATGGATTTCCCCAGACTTACAGAGACTGAGCGGAGAGACAGAGGAGTAAGAAGGTGGCAGCTGTGGGTCAGGCCACCTCGTGGGGACGCTGGTGGAATGCAGGTGGATGTGGATGTGTACATATGTATGTACATATATGTACACGTGTTGGAGAGGACATTTGTAGATATTAGTTTCAATGTGTGCACATGCAAATCTCCCTCCATGTGTGTGCAGTACCTACAGACATACGTGTGTGTGCATGTCCATGTGCAAGGGGTGTTACCAAACTTCCCACAGAGACGAATGGCAGAGTACTGTCTCTTCACTAAGCCTTCTCATGCTAAATTAAATCTCACATTATTCTTTTAAGTTGGCTTTAAAAAATAATATTAAAAATTCCATAAACAACCTGGGGCTAAATTGCATGACAGGTCCCTGGAAAGGGGTTTTATTACCACTATTGTTCTTACATGATTAGTGAAATGAAGCTCACCAGCCTTCCTGCTTCAGCTGCTTGAGCTCCCATGAGCTCAAGGAAAGGTACCGCAGAACACCTGCAGACAGTACCCCAGGCCCACACCTCTTAAGACCAGGGGGTTCACTTAGTGCAGCCCCTGTTGTCTGACTGGACAGACAGACGTAAAGACCTCACCCTGCAAGGTGGCTGGTACCTGCAGGACTGACTAGAACCCAGGCATCCTCACTGCCCCCATCCCTGAGTTTGCCATTCAGCAGCTGGCTCCGCTGGCAGGGAAGATGCATGAGTGTGACCACACCTGGATGACTGCTCTGTGGGCCTGCTTCCTGTTGGTGAAACTCTGGGCTGGACCCAGAGTCTCCGAAGTCTTCACTGCCCTACCTTTGGTGACTCTGCTGGTTCTGGCTGGCTTCCTGGCTTCCTCTGGAAAGGAAGAGGCAGCTTTTCAGGGCCTGGTCTCTCCTCTACACTCGCCAGTGCTCCATTTTCCTGCTCTTGCACTGTCCTTCAATAAGTGCGGAGTCAGGGAGAATCAAGTGTGAGCAGAAGGAAACACTAGCGGGGAAACTGGACCCAGGAAAGTTCTTTAAGCAAAATCTAAAGGAGCCCAAGCCATCCAACCAAGGGAAGGAAGAAGCACAGCAGGGCTCCCTGTGACCCACGCTTTGGTAAGAGAAGGAAGAACGCAAACGTACCCTGGACTCCAGCGAGAGATGCTCAAGTTAGATCTGGAGGGACTTCCTTGCTGTTGAGAAGGAAGGAGAGGAAGAAAGGGAGGGCAGTAGTCCTTAGAGATTGGGATTAATTATATTCTGAATATCTGTGGAGTCCTTGCCTTACCTGGAGGTCTTGACCCACTTTGGGTGACTCTGGAGCCCCTACCCAACCCATCCCATCACACGCACCCCATAAAAGGACCAGGATGGCTTTGTGCCACTCAGATCCAGAAGGTGATGCAGACAGGCCTCAGCGCACAGAACATCGGGTCACAAAGCCTGTGGAAAGTGCTGACAACCTACAGGAGTTGGGATGGCCTTGACGACAGATGTCCTGGAGGATCTCGGCAGACACGTTCTGAGCTTTTGGCAGGTGGAGGAAAGCTCATTCAGAAACCTCTCCTAGTTGGCTACACTGCCCCTACCTCTGCATGTGCACACAGCCATGCACACATCCGCCCTGACTCGCTGGAGACGCAGCCCACCTGCTCACACCAGCAAAGCGAGCCTAGGAAACCGTGCCCCCTCCATCCCCTGCCACAGCCCGCTCTGCTCTTCGGCGTCCAGCGGGTGCCTCAGCCTCCCCTCCAGATGGGTGAGGTCCGTCCTGGGGGAGGGGGCCAGGGCGCTGACACTCACTCGCAGCTCGACAGCACCTCGATGATGGAGGAGTGCTCGCAGGTGGGCCCTTGCTGGCGGGAGCCTAAGGACCCCCACCTCCGCCCCATACAAGCAGCCGGGTGTCTGGGGAAGAGACTGCAGCTTCCTTGGCCTCTTCCCACCCCAGGGCGCCTGCAGCCTGCGAGGGGCCGCACCCTCCCAGCTCTCTAGCCCTTCCTCCTAGTCCGGAGAGCCGCCCCCGCAGCCTGGCCAGAAACAATCCCCCTTTGAGAGAGGCTGCCAAATTGGGCGCCAGGATGAAGGCGGGGTGGCCCGGCGCGGGCAGGGGCCGGGGATGCAACTCTGAGAGCCAAGCCCAGCCGCGCGTCCAGCCCCGCCTGCAGTCCCGCGCCCGAGCCCGAGCCCGAGCCGAGTGGAGCGGAGCCGAGCCGCCTCCGCGGGAGGGCGCGCGCCCGCGGCCCGGGATGGGGTAGATGATACCAATCTCGGGGGTCCTCCGCGCTGGCCACCTTGCGCCCCCGCCTCGACTGGCGAGGTTGGTACCGACCGGCGGCGGCGCGGGTCCCGCAGCAGCTCGCGCGCCCGCCGCGCGGGGTGCGGGGTGCCGGGTGCGGGGTGGGGGTGGGGGTGGGGAGGGGGCGGGGCGAAGGCGCTGTCACCGCCGGGCTGCACCGAGCTCCACCGCCGCCGAGGGCACCGCGCGCGCCGGGCCCTGCTCCAGCCCCCGCCGCTCCTCGCCGCGCCCGCGCTGCTGCGCCTCCGCGCGCCCCCTCCGGCCGCTCTCCCCGAGCGCACAGGAGCGGACGGGGCGGCGGGCGGCGATGAAGGGACCCCCGGGGACCCTGAGCCAGATAGTCCCTGGGAAGCACGGCCCAAGGCAGCAGCCGGGGGTTGCCGGAGCCCGAGCCTAGCCGCTGCCCGCGATGGACCGCGCCGCTGAGTACCCGGACTCGCCGCCGCTGCAGGTCAGTGCCCCCGCCCTGCAGCCGTCGTCCACCGAGCCCCTTTATGCGTCCTCGCCAGTCCCCACGCCATGTCCTCGGGGCGTGCGCGTGGCGTGTGCGCGTGTGCGTGTGTATGTGGAGCGAGAGGAGGGGGCGCCGGAAAGGGGCCACGGCTGGGAGGCCTTGTGCCTAGGGGCTGCAAAACAAAACCGGGATGGATGCCGCCTGCCATCCTCAGACCAAGATGTAGGGAGCCCTGGTCCTGCGCTCCAAGGACTCCTAACAATTGCTCTGCTCTTAGCCGCCTGCCCTGCCCCTTCGCCACTTCAGCAGGTGGTTCGCGAGGCCCTGAGGAGGATTGGACCAGCAGCCCCTGGCCCACTTCTGTTCCCCAGCAGCCCTCCCCACATTGTGGCTCCCTCTCAGCATTGGCAAGTTAACTGGATTCAGGAGATTAGGCTCTGCAGCTCCTGGGGATACCGAGGCGCTGGGAGTTGGGTAGAGGACCCTAGGTTCCTTGGGACCTTCAGTGCCATTGGGAGGAAGGAAGCAAGGCTGCTGGGTTCCCACCCTTCCCTCTGGGCCTGGGCTCAGGAGTGAGACCTGATGTCTCTAATTAAAGCATACAACTTCAAAAAAGAAGCTGAGAGTTGAGGCAGGGAAGGAAGAAACAAAGAAGCAGCTGGATCCAGCAGTGCCAGGGAAGGGGGTTGACAGCCTCTTTCCAAGCAGCTGAGGTGGATACTCCAAACAGTCGGCACACTCAGATGTGGATCCGGGCCTGACTGGCTCCCTTTCCTCTCTCCCTGTCTCAGGCATCACTAGCTGGACTGCTTGATATAGGAACTGAAGCCCAGAGGTTTCCGTGGCACAAGGCCCTCGAAGTGGCCTCTGGTGGACATTGTCTACTTGGATGGGCACACTCTGGGTGAGGGATGTGACAGAATTGAGCTCAGGCTGTTAATAATGGTTGGGCATGATGTCCTAGTGGGGAGTGCTGTGACTTAATAGTGTTTGTATGGAAACCCCAGGAAGGTTGCCTGCTAAATTCCTGAGGTCGCGGGCATGTGGTCTTGCAGCACCACTGCTCTAGAGTCCTCCAAGATGTCTCACTGCCCAGGCTGTGCCTGCATCCTGAAAGGTTCTGGAGTTACATGTTATTTCCCTCTACTCCTTAACTGGATAGGGTTAATGAGCCAGGGAGAGTTAAAGCATCTGAGCCCCATGCACCCATGGAGCCGGCACCTTGTTGTGCTCACCCCTAGATGCTGTTAGCACCTGTGTGCTGGATTGAATATGAGGAGCTGAAGCAAGGGGCTGGCAAATCACAGAGAAGCAGAACTTGTGCCATAGGATAGGAACCTGTGGTAGAGACCCAGGACTCCAGAGCAGCCCATGTCTTCCACTCAGGCTTCTGGATAGGCTTCGATTTTTCCATAGCAGTGTTTTAGGGGAGAAGAGATCAAGCATGCTCTTCTTGGGTAGGGTCTCGAGTGATAAGGCAGGTCAGGAGCTCCAAGGGTCAGAACTGGAGGAGGACATGGACCGGGACCTAGGCTCCAGGGTAAGGAAGCCTGTGATCCTGTGTGGCCAGAAGCAAGGGCTGATGCCTGAGTGCTCCTTCATCTGATAACCGAAGAAAGGACAGGGCCCGAGGAAGAGAAGGATTTGGAGCCTGAGAGCACAGACAAAGGTTTACAGCAGAGGGAATGCAAAGCAAGAAGAGGCTGGGTAGCAAAGGTGTTCCTTCCAGAACCCCCACATCCTCCCCTGCAGGATCCTCTCAGTGGAGTTTAGGGCTCTAGCAAATGCAAGGGGGACAAAAGGCAGAGGGGGACAAGCTACAAGTTCAACAGGACTGAGTCACGCAGGCATCTTCAGAGTCTCCTTGTCATCTCCACCACCTCCCAGCCTCTTCCCACCCCTCTGGTCCTGGAACACGGTGTAATGTGGAGGACACAGAGTCTGAGCAGGCCTGGCACCTGGGGAGGAGGAGGAAGAGAAGCTTGCTTTGCATACTGTCCTCTCCTCCCAAGCCTCCAACTAAAAGACACCAAGACCCTCCTGAAGATCAGTAAGGGCACATGGACAAGAGCCAGCCAGTCCCCAGAGGGTCCAGCCTCAGTCCAACTGTGGCCAACTGAGTGGACTATAAAGGAAGACACAGGGCCCTCTAAACCCTGACTTCCTGGCACTCTGTGAATTGGGGAACCCTCATCTCACCAGACTGCTTTATGAGAAGTGCTAGATAAGTGTTAATTTATTTTAGACACTCTCCTACCCTCCATTCTCCCAGAATCTTTGTGGCTGTGAAATTTGGAGTAGCTGGTTCTCTGGCCAGGCCAGCTTTCCCACCAGTTCTTTGCAATCAGTGCAGCTGCCCCTTTAGGCAACCCACAATCCCAAACTCTGTCCAGGCCCAAGGAACCCAGAGCTACTCAGCTAAATAATGATAATCTCTGTCTAATAATGTGAAATGCGACCATTCCATTTTATCAGGGAATAAGTGTCTAAGAAAAGTCATGAAATTACTGTTTATTATGCATGCTGAAAGCTGATGGGATGGTCAGAGAAGTTATTCACCATCCAGTCTACTCCCGGGGCCCTGGGTGGACACCTCTTGTATTCCAGGCTCTACACTAGGGTCTAGGGACACAAAGCATCAAATAACCCAAAATTAGTGTTTTCTATTTAGTTTTGGAAGGGTTATATGGGTTGCTTTTTTTCTCTCTCTCTCTCTCTCTCTCTGCAGCTACAGCAAATTTACTTTTCTAATGAGGTTTGTCTCTGGCCAATATTAAAATGTGTGTGTTCAGGGAGCACACACCAGCTGACAGCGGCACAGGAGGCAGCCTAGTGCCAAGTGCCTGGCAGGGATGAGGGCTTTGCCCCGAACCAGAGAGTCTGGGTCTGGCTCTAGAGTTGGCAGGGTTGAGGAATGACCTTGCCCCGGGCCGAGGTGTCATGCTGGGTGAGCCCTGGCTGGGTGAGCTCTCCTCAGATGTGCAGGGATGATTGCCAGTCCTTTGCTCACGTGCACCGAGAAGGAAAATGGGTGGGGAGAAAGTCAAGCCACAGTACGAAGGCATGACCACAGGGACGGAGCACTGTCTGTGGTGAGACCAGCCCTTCTGTCCTCCCAGGATGACCACGTGGGGCAGCATCTCTCAACACCGCCCGAGCTGTCTCCTTCTTGAGAGGCAGATGAGCAGTCTGACTCTAAGGCAAGAGTAACTCTTCATGCCCATTGTTCACAATGGCCAGCACCGGACACTGGGGTGGACAGGCTGCTTTTCTGCACCCTAAACAGCACTGCAGCCACCCCAGCCCTAGTGAGGGGCTTGGCAGCCACCATCTTGGACAGCATGCACACAGCACCTCCAGCAGCCTAGAGGATCTGGGGACAATGCAGCTGCCACTCTTCCTCTGTGTAGCTGGGAGGCCAGCTAAGAATGTAGCCTGGCTGGACTTGGGTCCTGGGTCTGCCGCTTCCTAGCTGTGTGGTCTCAGGACACTGTTTAACCTCTCTGGGCCTCTGATTCCTCCTCTCTAAAACAGGGGTGATAATAGGATGGTGAGGAAGGGGTGAATCATTACGTTTAATCATGCTAACCACTCAAAATGTGCAACACCAGTTGCTTTTTTTTATTTGAAAATAGCAAGCAATTTGTATTATTCATTTTGTAGCAATTCACAGAGATATTTACTGAGCAGCCTACTCTGTACCAGGCTGCCTGCCATCAGTGTGTTACCTTGTTTAGAACTCGGATCCTTCCTCAGTTTCCCCACCTATAAGTATGGGGCCAGATCATAACACCTGCAATGTGCCCGGCCCTGTGAGATAAGTGAGGCTAGAAATATATTTTCCTCATTTGTAATTAAATGCTGTAAGAAGAAACTGAGGTTGTTTTGAGAGGCATGTAGTGGAAATTCTCTTTTATTGGAAATATTCTCACTAAAAAAATCTTAAATGCTGTAAGATAAAAGCAGCAAGCTGTGCTGTCTTCTTGCTGCACTGTGGTGGAGCAGGGGCCATGGGGGGCCCTGCTGGGGCGAGCTCTGTCCAGGGGAAGACAGCCAGGAGGCTGCAGCCCAGCGGAGAGGCCATAGCTGGACAGGACTTCAGGCTGCTACACGTCCAGCTGACTGCAAGCCGGGCATGGAGCTGCATCAGCAACTTACCACGGAGCAGCCTGGCACAGGCGCTATTTCCTCATCTACAACAGGAGAGGTGTGGGCCAGGTGAACACACCCCAGGCTTTCGCTTGCCCACTGAACACCCAGGAGTGGGACACACGAGCAAGGGGGCCGCCAGCCATGCTGCCAGAGGAAGGGGGCAGGCGAGGAGGAGTCTTGTTGGCCATCAGGAGCCTGCACTGGCAATGGATGCCCCAGACTACCTGGCCTCCTGGTTTCTCAGGACTAAGGCCTGTGAATACAGGCCCTCCCTGTTCTGTAGATGAGGGAATGAGTGCCCAAAGTGGTTCCACTCCTGTCCAGGGTCACCAGGTATCTTAGTGCCTTGCTCCAGCCCGCATCTGAAGTCACATGCTTCCTGCCCCTTCCTCTCTGGCAAGTGGCCTGTCCTGTGGGCAGGACAGGGCTGTACAGGCACCATAGGAGCAGCCTGTGCCCACAGCTGGACCCCTGTGTAGTCAGGGAGAAGAGCAGGTCAGTGAACAGCATAAGGCCACCAGGGTCCTTGGGCAGGCCAGCTCCTCCTGGCCACAGGCAGAATCAAAAGCACATACAGAACCTTAATTAAATTTTTGAATCATTAGTTGCACCCGTCCATACAACTCTGACCAAGGAAAGGCTGGCCTGGGAGGACTAGGCTGGCTGACTGGCAGGGACCTCAGTGGCTCGGGGCTGAGGCTTGGGAGTTGCCTGGCTCCTGCCTCCCTCAGACCTGCAGCCCTGATTGCCTCAAGAAATCTGAGGGCCCGACACCTCTCCTCACTGACCTGACACTCTCAAGATCAGAGCACTGGTGGCACTGGTTCCCTGGGAGTGCGGTAGGC